GAATGAATGAATGAATGAATGAATGAAGAAAACATGGCACAAGCCCAGCCCACTGGCTCAGTGGTTGAGCATCAACCTGCAAACCAGGAGGTCACTGTTTGATTCCTGGCCAGGGTACATGTCCAATTGTGGGCTTGATCCCCAGTAGGGGGCTCGCAGGAGACAGCCAATCAATGATTCTCTCTCATTACTGATGTTTCTATCTCTCTCTCCCTCCCTCTCGGAAATCAATAAAAAAATTTTTTTTTAAAAACATGGTACATATGATACAATGAAATATTATTCAGCCAAAGAAAAAGGAAATACTGTCATTTGGAATACCATGGATGGACCTTGACCACATTACGCTAAGTGAAATAAATTAGAGAAACATGGCTATTTTAGATTCCACATATAAGATCTAAAAAAGTTGAACTCGCCCAATCAGTGTGGTTCGGTGGTTGACCATCAACATATGAACCAGGTCACAGTTCAATTCCTTGTCAGGGCACACACCTGGGTAGCCGTCTTGGTCCCCAGTAGGGGGTGTGCAGGAGGCAGCCAATCCATGAATTCCCTCTCATCACTGATGTTTCTATCTCTCTCCCTCTCCCTTCCTCTCTGAAATCAATAAAAATATTTTTTTTAAAGATAAAAAGTTGAACTCATAGACAGAGTAGATTGGTGGTGGCCAGGTGCTGAGGGTTGGGAAAATGGGAGATGCTGGTGAAAGGATGAAAACTTCCAGTTTTAAAATGAAAAAATTCGGGGAATCAAATGTACAGCGTGATGACTCTTATGAACAATACTGTACTGTATACTTAAAAGTTGCTGAGAATAGATATTAAATGTTCTCACCATAACAAAGATAATTATGTGAGATGATGATGTATTCACTAACCTTTTGTAGTAATTGTTTCACAACATACCTTGTGTGTGTGTGTGTGTGTGTGTGTGTGTGTGTGTATATATAAAATCATCACCTTCAGTATATACAATTTCTATTTGTCAATTACACTTCAATAAAACTGCAAAGGGGAAGGTGGATGGAACCACCATATTAACAGAAGAGCTTACAAATTCAGGTAAGATTGTTAAGTAGTTAAATACATTAAGTTCTAAGCTAAGGAACACATAAATATAAAGCAATGAAGGTACCACTTGATCCAGAGAAAGCAGGATTAGCAATTAAGTTATAGTAAAATAAAACCTCAGATGATAGCTTTTTTAACTACACTGTCATCAATGAAAAACACCAAACATCACCATCAGCCCAAGAAAAGGGCATCAAGTTTATATCTGACAAGGTGAGACAGTACAACTATCAATAGATCTCAACTTAAGAAAACTCACTTTTAATAAAGTGAGAAATTTAGTCTTTCTTAACAATTAATACTTCCTCTATATTTAGAATAAAAATTTCATGAAAGATTATGTCACTAAAAAGTAAGAAATTTTTTCAAAAGAAGAAAAATCTCTATAGCTAAATTCTTAAAAGAACTTATAAATTTCTAGATACCTTATCTTTACTAAGCATTCACCTTATCTAATATTTTCTTATTACTGTTCTTAGATTCACCAAATATTTTATTTTGCCACAACTGCTTTTTTTCTGTAAGAAATTTTAATGATGCTTCTATTATAAAAATAATCTAGATTACCTAAGTAACTATCTACCCTGAAACCAAGAAATGCCACCTGAGTTCAATGCCCAAGTTTGCATTGGTGTTTACAATGAAGTTGATTATCTAAAATAACAGTATCTAACTTTTAATACAATATTTTCAGAACTAGAGACCGAATTAAGTTGAAACTTCTTTTTTTTTATAGATGAACGGAAACACATGAAGCCCAGAGAGATCAAGAGACTTTTCCATGGTTACACATCCATGTATCATTTATTAATTCACTCAAATATTTATTGAATGCCCATTATGTGTCAAGCATTATATTAGGCAGTGGGTAGGTAGTGGTGAGTAACCTTTGTTAGGGCTGAGACTAGAATACAGACTTCATGACATGAGATCCTAGACCAGCCGTCACTTCCGCTAGATCCCAATAGAACAATTAGATAATACAAGATCTATCCTTCCCTGTGTCCAGGAACTAAGTTCTCTTTGACCACAATGCCACAATCAATTGCTCATATAGTTGGCCTCCTGGTGGCAGAGATCTCTGAGGTTCTTCCATGGTGAAGACATAGATTCTCCCTCAAGGAGACCTAAGCCTGTGGGTCACATTTGCTCTGGGAGTTCCAATCCTTCACCAACGGAAGCCTAAGAGCCCCAGCTAGAGAGTTGTGTCTATGTGCAGACAACACTATTGGTAGATTCCTACCAGTTACCCAGTTTTCTGGCTACTGTGCTCAGAAGCCTGACTCTATCCTCGGTTCTCCCAGTCCCATGTCTCAGATCTTTGCACCAAACTCCAGATGAAACTGGCCTATAACCTTGAAATTCAAAAAAAGACTTTAAAACTGTAACTTTCTTATTTTGAAAATGAAGCAGTTTACAAGACAAACAAAAAACACCATATTTTTATACATAAGTAAACTTTCTTCTCTATATTTGCCTTCAGACTCATAAAGAAAAACCAAGGAGCTTTTTTCCTATATAATTGTTTTCCTCAAAATAATTTTCTCTTTTAAAGACTATTTTTCTATTGATTTCAGAGAGGAAGGGGGAGGGAGAGATAGAAACATCAATGATGAGAGAGAATCACTGATTGGCTGCCTCCTGCACCCCCATCACTGGGAATCGAGCCCAGGCATGTGCCCTGACCTCCTGTTTCATAGGTCGATGCTCCACCACTGAGCCATGCTGGCTGGGCTCAAAACAATTTTTCTGTTTTGAAATAGCAATCAATACTGCTGACAGGATATAAAACATACATACTGTTTATCGAGGTGGGCAAAATGTTAAATTAAAGGCAAACATACTGGTACATGATAAGGAGCAGTAGTCATTCCATAGCAACTATCACACCCATATCTTTTAAGTTATTCCATTCTTTCTGGGTCAGTGAGTAAAACTATGACTTGTAGTATACGCCCAACAAATAAATATCTAAACATGCTAAAAATGTTGCAATAGCTGCCCATTCCTTTTGCCCCTGGGCCAAAGGTCCTTAAAAAGTACATTTAAACTTTGAAAAACATCTTAAATTTAAGTCATAATCACTTTGCAAATCTATTAATACAGAAATATCTTACTTATGGAGTCAATTTTGCAACTGCTCAATCTAAAATATTTTTCACAATACTTTTCTAAAAGAACTTGCATATAAATTAGGTGATCTGTGTATAATGAATAGAAAGTAAATTTAGCCGAAACCGGTTTGGCTCAGTGGATAGAGCGTCGGCCTGCGGACTGAAAGGTCCCAGGTTCGATTCCGGTCAAGGGCATGTACCTGGGTTGCGAGCACATCCCCAGTGGGAGATGTGCAGGAGGCAGCTGATCGATGTTTCTCTCTCATCGATGTTTCTAACTCTCTATCTCTCTCCCTTCCTCTCTGTAAAAAATCAATAAAATATATTTTTTTTTAAAAAAAAGGAAATTTAGGAAATACAGAAAAATCCTTTGTCCATGCTAACTATTTCAAATAGATTCTGTGCTTTTTAAAGTCCATCATGTTTTCAGTCTCCTAATTCATGGTGCCAACCAACCCACTTTTCCCTTTTCTTATTATTCTTTTTTATTGTTTTTAATCCTTACCCCAGGGAATTTTTCCCATTGATATTCAGAGACAGTGGGAAGGAAGGAGGAAGGGGGGAGAGAGTAAGGGAAACATCATGTGGGATATACCCATTGGCTGTCTCTAGCAAAAGCAAGTATTGAACAAATATTTATTGAAAAAATATTGAACGTAGAATAGAAAAGTTTGTTTTAAGCTATTTTGCACAATGATCTTTCTCCCTTCAATTCCACTTGTGTGTTGTATGCTCTTTTGTTCTATTAGCAATTAAAAATGTGTACAATTAACAGATGATCTATATTGAACTAAAGTTAGAGTACTCATAAGAAATATAAAATAAGGGAAAAAAGCAACTGAAAGGAAGGTAAAAATTAGTTATCTTTTGCGGGAAGCCATTCACTGCCGATACTATCATGAGAGTGCACCAAGGAACGCGGGAAGGCCGATGGACCTTGGGCATTAGCAGGGCTAATGCCAAGCACCATTGTTCTGTTGAGATAGTGGTGGTTGGAAGCAATTTCTTGATCTAATAGCCTCAAAGTAAATGTTTACTGAACCTTACTGATCTTTACTGATCTTTATTGATCTTAGAGAGGGTCTGTCTGCTACCTGTTTGCTGTGCTTTACTGAGGGCAAGATGTGTATCTAAAATTGAATAAAAAGCGGATAAGGCCAGGTTTCAGTGTGCCTCTCCAAGAGAGAGGTCTCCACCTGGCCCCCCATGCCTTCTAAATTCATATTTCTTGTATAGTATTTTCATTTGCGCATTGGCCCCTTCTTCAGATCCTGAACCCCCGCTGCAAAGGTTGCGGAAACTTTTTGCTAACAGCGATGATTACCAGGTGTACCGGTTAATAATGCAGATTTTTTTCAATACATGGAGTTACACATATGTTGATATATATGTGATTTGATATGTATGCTATTTTGTTGTATTGACAGCAAGCTTCAAAACTTCATATGTCAAATTTTATGAAGGTGTTAACATCATAGATATTTTTACGCTTAAAAAGGTCAAATTTCGTGCCAAAAAGCGAGCATTTGCAGGAAATTTTTAAAAAATATATATTTTTTATTTATTTATTTTTTACAGAGAGGAAGGGAGAGGGATAGAGAGTTAGAAACATGGATGAGAGACCCTTGAGTCCGCAGGCCAACGCTCTATCCACTGAGCCAAACCAGTTGGAAGTTTTAATTCATTACTTTATTTGGAAGAAAAGTGCTGCTGAGAGTTATCGTATACTTCGGGAAGCTTATGCTGAATATGCTCCATCTCAAGATACTTGTGAACACTGTTTTAAACACTTTAAAAGTGATGATTTCGATGCGAAAGACAATGAACGTCCAGGTCAACCGTAAAAGTTTGAAGACAAACTATTACAAGCATTAGTGGATGAAGATGCATGTCAAACTCAAAAACAACTTGCAGAAAGATTAAACGTTGCTCAGCAAACAATTTCCGATCGTTTACAAGCAATGGCAAAGATTTTAAAGGAAGGAAAATGGGTGCCCCATCAACTGAACGAAAGACAAATGGAAAACCGAAAAGTCATCAGTAAAATGTTGCTTCAACGGCACAAAAGAAAGTCTTTTTTGCATCAAGTTGTGACTGGCGATGAAAAGTGGATTTATTTTGAGAATCCCAAACGCACAAAATCATGAGTTGATCCAGGTCAACCATGAACACCGACTGCAAGGCCAAATTGCTTCGGAAAGAAGACAATGCACTGTTTGGTGGGATCAGGAATGTGTGGCATATTATGAGCTTCTAAAACCAGGTGAAACCATTAATACTGATCGCTACTTACAACAAATAATCAATTTGAATCACGCTTTGATCATAAATGACCAGAATGGGCCAGAAGACACAGCAAAGTAATTTTGCTTCATGATAACGCACCATCACACCCTTCAAAACCAGCTAAAGATGCATTTATACTTCTTGCCTGGGAAGTATTAACCCACCCACTATATTCACCAGACCTTGCTCCTTCAGATTACCACTTGTTTCCATCGATGGCACACACACTTTCTGAGCAGCACTTCAAAACGTATGAAGAAGATGATGGCAGCATAGGTAAACACCTGAACTTGCTGCCTCGCACAACCACATCAAAACTACAACTAAAAGACAAAACAGATATCATCCAGAACCACAGGACGGCTGGCTGAGTGGAAGTTATACAACTAGAAGGGAAAAGCACACTGAGACTGGGAGGAGGTGCTGAGGTGCGGAAGTGCGCGGAAACGGGCTGGCAACTGGGTATGCTGTTGTCTTTTTCAATAGGGAGGGAGATACAAGCTCCCAACTGCTCTGAAGTCCAGTTCTAGGCAAGACTCTGGGGACCCAGACTCACCCAGGGAGAAACTGGACTGTCTGGCATCAGGCCGGAACACAAGGGCAGCTTTCTCTCAGAGGTGCTTGCAGTGTTCATTGTTCCTGCACGGTGCTGCAGGACACAGAGACCCAGGGACCTCCTCGGAGCAGGGCTGACGGGCAGCCATTGCTGTTTGCTCTGCCCTGGTGATTCCCGTGACTCCGCCCCACCCAATTTACAACCCTACCCAAGCTGTGCGCAGAGGCTTTTTCATATGAATGGCCTGGCCTTTTGCAATCTAAAACCTAATAAGCTGCAGCTGGGTCAGAGAGCCCCAGAGCTTCCAAAAGAAGGCCCAAGGCTCGACAGCAGCCTGCACTGCTTCACAGCTGGGCCTCATCTGGGCACCTCCAAAGCCCAAACAAAGAGGAGAAATCTGCAGGTCTCTCTGTAGCTCCTGCTGGGTGGCCTCAGGCAGTGGCTGATTTTGCACCTCCTTGGAGATCCAAGAGCCAGCGTACCCAGTGGTCAGAGTGAGAGCACACCAGATTAAAACTCTTCACTTCCTTAAGAGACACACTCATAGAGGGCAGACTCAGTGAGCACCAAAGCCCCACTGAAGCAAGTCCTGCCCCATAAGGGTGTCTCCAGCACAGCAGTTCTCCCATTGTAGACACAACTGGTTCTCACAGCCCATTGGCCTGGAGGTCAATTCCTCCCAGTGATACCAACTACAATCAAGGCTTAACTACAACAAGACTGTGCACACAGTCCACAAAGGGGTGCACCAACAGTGTCCATCTCAGGTAATTAGGGAGGCTGAGCCACTGGACCCTATAGGACACCTAGCACAGAAAGCCACTCTATCAACACAGGGAAGCAGCCAAAATGCGGAGACAAAGAAACAGGTCACAAATGACAGAAATGGAGGAAAGCAAACTACTGGATATAGAGTTCAAAACCACGGTTAGCCGAAACCGGTTTGGCTCAGTGGATAGAGCAGGGGTGGGCAAACTTTTTGACTTGAGGGCCACAATGGGTTCTTAAACTGGACCGGAGGGCTGGAACAAAAGCATGGATGGAGTGTTTGTGTGAACTAATATAAATTCAAAGTAAACATCATTACATAAAAGGGTACGGTCTTTTTTTTTTTAGTTTTATTCATTTCAAATGGGC